AGCACCCTTGTGTCTGTGGCTGCTCTATAAACCAGCTGCTTCCGCCAGGCCATGAGCACTGGCAGAAAGGGGAAAGGTTCAGGGCAAAGCTGGAAGTCTGACCTAGCTTGGGAGAGGCAAATGCTGTGGTGGGGAAACAGGGAAAGCCAAAAAGGATAAAAACCCAAGCAGAACGTAATTTCTGGATGTAGCAGGTGAAAGAAACAAAGGAAAATAGGTGCCAGTCCCCTATGCTTGTGTAGCTAACAGGATTCATTCCCGTTTGTTGGGTTTCCAAAAGAACAACAGGCTGCCTTCATCCAAATCCAGCTGTGGGGCAATAAGCACAGCAGCTACAACGAGGGCAGAACTCAGCTTTGCTCATGCTCATCAGGCAGAAGTAACTATTAAATAATGAAAAATTAACTGAAAGTGAAGGAGATCTGGATACACCTTGTCCAGGTTAAAATAAATATATAAATAATGAAAAATAAATCAGTAGAACTGTGAAACACAGGAGCCAGGAGACTGATGAGAAATGACACCCTGCCCTGAGAAAACATGAGCCAGATTGGAGACCTATCATTTTTAACTCTTCAACCCTCAAAGAACTAGAGTATCTTGACAAACAGGAGCTTGTGACCATGAACATCTGTACAGCAGCTGGTCAGGCACCCACTAATCAAGCACAGACCAGTGACACGATGCTTCCACATGCTGAAGCTGACCCCCACTTCCCAGACTCTGCAGCTGCCACTATAACTACAGCTTTTCACATCAGCTTCACTGGTTCTACCCTTCCTAGGGGTTACTTGGTGATAGTCATCCATGAAATAGAAAGTACTTAAGGAAAGCAGAAAAGCCAAACAGCCTCACCTTGCTTTTCTGAGTCTTGTTTCCTACTGTGAGCAGGACAAAGGAGGAAGGTTCTCGTTCCATCTTCTGTCATTTAATACAAGGGGGAAAAAAAAAAAAGAGGAAAGCAGGAGAAGCAAAAAAAAAAAAAAAGATACATTTATAGTTTACAGGAATATCTTTTATTTAAACCACTACTTTTAGTGAAATAAGTTGCTGGAAAGCTGACATTAGATTTCAGATGTGGGACATCTGAAGAGTGCAGTACACAGGAAAGACTCCAGCCAAAACCCGGCACAATCTTACTCTTTACCATCTAGAGAACACATTTAAGCCACAGTTTTATGTATTTAGGTTTCAAAAGGTGAGCAGTAAAAAATTTGTCAGAAGCTGGAAGGAAACAGAGAAGACAGCTGAAGGCTCAGTGGAAATCATCATTCCTGCGTGAAACAGGACTATTAGAAGTGGTTTCCAAGGCTCAGGACTTGCTGTGAAGCAATTAGAAGCAAATCTTTGGCATCTACTCTGCTCTTGTGAGACCTCACTTGGAATATTGTGTACAGTTCTGGTGTCCTCAACATAAAAAGGACATGGAGCTGTTGGAACAAGTCCAGAGGAGGGCCACGAGGATGATAAATGGGGCTGGAGCACCTCCGTTATGAAGACAGGCTGAGAAAGTTGGGGCTGTTCAGCGTGGAAAAGAGAAGGCTGCGTGGAGACCTCACAGCAGCCTTCCAGTATCTGAAGGGGGCCTACAAGGATGCTGGGGAAGGGCTCTTCATTAGGGACTCTAGTGGTAGGACAAGGGGTAATGGCTTTAAACTTAAACAGGGAACTTTAGGTTAGATATAAGGAAGAAGTTCTTCACAGTGAGGGTGGTGAGGCACTGGAATAGGTTGCCCAAGGAAGTTGTGAATGCTCCAACCCTGGAGGCATTTAAGGCCAGGTTGAACAGAGCCTTGGGCGACATAGTTTAGTGTGTGGTGTCCCTGCTCATGGCAGGGGGTTTGGAACTAGATGATCTTAAGGTCCTTTCCAGCCCTAACTATTCTATGATTCTGTGATTCTATGATCAAGTAACAATTCCTTCCAGGAGCAATAATACTGAACCTCTTGTACTGTGCTTCTTTGCACTAATGCTATAGAAGTTAAGGCTGAGGATCTGGTCTTGGCACAACACTGTATACAAAGTATATAAAAAATATACTTCACAGTACAGTTTGGATATGGTGAAGTCCAAAATTAAGGATTATAAAATGTGATGTGTATGACAGTGCTGGTAACCTATCTAAATTGTGAAGACTGCATTTAAGAGGAGAGCTACTCAGAGAGAATAGGAAGCTTTATCCATTGCTCAGAGCTGTGGTTTTGTGTAGCAGAAGCAAAGAAAGAGAAAGCATGAGTGACAGTGTGGCTTCTGCATCTCTCTAAAACTGAGGGGATGGAATCTGGTGATGATGTCTCCAATGGAAGGAAGGTTACTACAAACAAGCATATTCCTCCCATCCCAATGTGGAAGTCCAAGCTAGAACAGCTCAGCGAGGAAAGAAGCCTTGTAGCAGCCAAAAAGTGTAACAGAGAATCATAGAATAGTTAGGGCTGGAAATGATCTTAAGATCATCTAGTTCCAATGGGCAGGGACGCCTCACCCTAGATGATGTCGCCCAAGGCTCTGTCCAACCTGGCCTTGAACACTGCCAGGGATGAGGCACTTACCACTTCTTTGGGCAACCTGTTCCAGTGCCTCACCACCCTCACAGTAAAAGAACTTCCTCTGTATATCCAACCTGAACTTCCCCTGTTTAAGTTTGAACCTATTACCCCTTGTCCTATCACTACAGTCCCTGATGAAGAGACATGACTTGGTCTGATGTCTGAAGGCTCTCTGTCCAAGGTATAAAACAAAAATAAAGACAGCCCCACACACAATCAGATATTTCTGGGTCCCCCTTGGACATCCCAGACTTTCACTGGGGTGGGGGTGGGCTTTCAATCACTATTTTGAACTCCCAGTCAGTTTGATTCTGATGGTGGTGAGATTATTTCTTCTTAACCACAGCTAGTTTCAGTTGCTATGATACCGTATAATCCAGAATGTTGTTTTGCAAGCATGGGAGAAGAATAAAAATTTTACCTTGAGGTACTTGTTATTTTTGATCTTCTTTGCTCCACATTCACCATTGGAATACTCAAAGTGGTTTTTCTGAATTAGTAAAAGAGTATTTAAAAGCAATTAAATTTGTGGGCTTTGATAAAAGGTTAGGAGTGAAGGCTGCCTGCATGTGATTTGTACTTACTGGAAGGTTGAAGGCACCATCCAAGTAGACTATCAGAATAGCTGTAGACAAACCCTTCTTATCCTGTGAAGGCCAGGAAAGATAAAACAAAACAAAACACAAGGTAGGCATGATCGCCCATCAAGGACAATGTAAAGCACAACACAAATTCAAACCACAGTTTCTGAAAGCTAAGCAGCTCTTCACCTTTCTCCTAAAACTTGCAGTTGAGAGGAGCACAAGCCAAAACAGGATGACAGTTTTAAGCAGACCAGTAAGAAAAGGTGTAATTCTTTTCAGTTCACTGGCCTTAATGCTTTTCAATCTTTTTAATGCAGAACTGGTTGGATTCCCCAGAGCAGCAAGACACCTAAAAATATGCTCAGCCACATACATCCACATCAGTATCAGCAGAACAAAGCACGGAAACAAATTTGATTCACTTCAGTGGAACTCAAAAGCTTTTGCTTAATTCTGAAGTAGCAGCATCCTTGGGAGATGGGCTTTATCCAAGCAATTCTGCTGGACAAGCAAGACATCACTGGGAAGCATGGCCCTACCAAGCACCAGTGCTGGGTTATTTGTCTATGACTGGTACAGGTTATAGACAGGGGTCCTACACAGATCCTAGGTGATGAGAGAAGGGAAAAATTATCAAAGAAAGGAAGTTTGCAGTGAGTCAGTTCAAGCTTTGTCAATTCAAGTAAAAAGAGCTGCCAGATTTGAGTTACTCCTGAATTACCAAGGGACCTGGGGCAAGCAAATGCCCTTCCTCTTTAGGAGGGCCACGGAGGTGAAATCACATCAAAACTTTTTCAGTCAAAAATAAGCTCCCTTGAGTTTGCCTGGTGTCCCTAACTTTACGTGCTCCTTTGTTGATCACTGGATGGACAAAGAGCAGAGTAATCCTTTAAGAAAATATACTCACCTCATGTAGCTTTTCTTGGTCATTTACTAGTGAAAGCCACTCCAGTTTTAAATGCAAGTGTCCGCTTGTTGTCTTACTTAAGGGAAACCACTAAATGGAAACAACAAAGAGTAACTCGAGAACTGTGAGGCAGAAGAAATTTTACATAAATCTTGCATTCTGAGACTTACATACAATAGGCAGTATGAATTGTATTTTGAGTGCTTTAGCTTGCATTTTTGAGGTTTAGATTGTAGTATGTCCATCTACTCAGAAACACAAGCCAGAAGAAAAACAAGATACCATGTACATGCAGAGCATATGGATATTTCCAACTAGCAGCAGCACAAGGCAGGCATGCTGCCACTGTTTGCAGAGTGCTGGATTGCAGAATAAACCACAAGACTGGATCATTTCTTCCCCCAGCAATCAGACCGCTTCACCAAACTTCAACTTGTACAAAACATTTGGTACATACAGGACACAAGATACCAACATAAGATACCCCACTGCTGGCTCAGCATGACCTCAGGGCTGCCTGAGGTTGCCAGCTTCATTGTGAAAATTATTGTAACAGCTACTTGAAGTTTCATGAGTGAAGGTATTTTCTCTTTGTGAAAATACCACAGTGCAAGTGTGCAAGGAATCTTTAAGCATACAGAAACAATGCAGTAGCAGAGGGAGAGCACAAATGAGTGCATGTAAGCACATACTGCCAACCACATATAGAAATGAGCTGTGATCTTTACCTCATCAACAGTTCTGTCATTCATTACATCCACTAGGCTTATAAGCAAGCTGAAAGATGAAAAGCAAACATTTCAGTGTATATTTAGGTATACAACATATTGCTGTTGGGGGGAGAAGAAACCACCACCAGAAAAGCCCACACTCAGATCTGTTCCAAATAACAGCTTCTCTGCATTACCTGCATGCATGTGCGCTGGAATGCACTTACACTTCTGAAGTGTTCCCCTTGAAATACTTCCAAAATTAAAGTAAGTCAGAAGTAAACCTCAAGTTGTGTAACTATCACTTCTAATGGCTTCCTAGGATTCCCTGAAGGAGTCTTGGACCATTCTCTACCTTGTTCAAAGTTAGCTGCACTAAGAACTAATAACTTGGTATCAATATCTGGAAAAAGGGAATAGCTTCCTTCAATATTAAATTTCCAGTATGAATAATCTGGGTGTCCTGTTGCAGAGGTTACTGGACCCTGAGCAAGGGCCATGTTAATTTACCTGCCCATAAAGTCATCTTTATCTGGATCTTCATCATACAAGTCCACTTCTAAGTCCTGACCAGGCACTTCATGAACAACAAACTGGAAGAGAAAGAGGTGTTGATTAAAATGAAAACCCATTCACATAGGTTCATGCTTGACATGAACACTTCACAGCTGTATAACACAGTAAGGACATTCCCTGCTGTTTCATGGTTAATTGTATAAGAAATGCAATTGGTTATAGGTGAAAATATTTCAAAACCAGTTTGCTTGGTTTTGAACTGCAAGCTAAACCTCTCAAACTGGTATTCCTGATAAGCAGAGAAGAATCAATACTAGAGCAGATTACAGCTGCATAGACTGCTGTACTGATTGATATTTAAAGCAGTGCTTTGCACCTCCTCCAAAAACCCACATATGTAAATCAGATCAACCCGAATGACATTTCAAGTTTGCAATGTAAATTTGAATTTGTTTAAGGGAAAGAAGTGCCTCAATCAAGTAACAAGGAAGTCCACCTGCTCCAGTGCAGTCAGCTAAGAGAAGGTCCTCCAAGCACAGGGATGTAAACGGCTGTGCATCCTACAGATGAAAAGATCAAAAGATTCAGTACCTCAAATGTCTCATTCCAAATGGGATTAAGATCTCGGGAAACTGTCTTGCTTCGATACTGCACCGTGCCAACGCGAAGAAGAGCATATGGGTCCGACTTCCCCCTGATTGCACCAAGGAAACTGTCTTTCTGGACAAGGTTTTCAGCTTCTAGCAGATGAACCCTTACTACTCCCTGAATAAAATAAAATACAAAAAATTGTTCACGAAAAGGTGATCTTCAGATAATTGTAATATGCTACTTCCTAAAAAGAGTTATTTCAGGAAGCAAGGGTAGTCACAATGACAGTTTTGTAAAGACATGTATTTTGATGCAGTATATTTCTAATAACTTTTTGCACCATTTACCCGTAGGAATGAAAACCAAAACAAAACAACAAACACTTAAACAGATACACAAACCAATCTAGATAACTGGGTAGAAGATACTCTTCAATTTATTTTTAAATCAGAAGCATACCTATGCACACAGGATAACAAGTAAAAATCAAGAAGTAAAGTAAATAAAAAGTAAAGATTAATTCCTACTAACTGAAGGAGGAACTAAGCACCAATTGGCAGGTTCTTATTTTATTGTGGAGTGGCCATTCACCTTCAGCTTGGTGATACAAGTTTGCAATGGGGAGCATTGCTTTATTATTCATTTATATGTACCCTTATTAATGAGTGTATTAGGTACTTGATGGACGAGGGAAACTGAAGATCTGGGTATGTCAAGCATTTAGATTTGTTGTTGGGTTTGTCCCCTGATTATTTTTACTGTAACAAAGAGAAGTCACCCTCTGAGCTCCCTGTTTACACACCTTCACAGTGTTAGTAAAAAAAATAAGTAGCCTGACACTCACTGCTCATGTATTTACCTTCTCTAACTGAAGATCTGTGGTATTCTCAAAGGTGACTAAAGGCTTAAATTGATCAATAACTGAGTGTCTAAACAAACTTCTTATGCTATAGAGAGAGTAGGACCCTTCCAGCCCCACCTCTTCCCCAAATTATGAACTACCCACCATCTGCTTTTACATTTCTGAAATGTTGGCTACAGAAAACCTACAATTCAGGTGGAAACAACAGATATAGGAACCTAAGACACTAATGTGTATGCAGCCATATTGCGGTAAACGCAAATTCAGGCAGATTAACACCCCTGCTGAAAAAAAGAAAGAAAAAATATATATCAAAACCAACTCACATGTGGGATAGGGAACCTCAAGTGGGCAATGTTCATGTTCTTTTTCAGAGGCACTGTGATCCTGTTTGGTAGAACCAGCCGTGCAGCAATGAAGTCTTGAATTAGTGAGTCTGACATTACACTGCAGGTGGGAGGAAAAAAATGCAACCTAAATCTCTACAATCAATCAGAATTTCAGTTAGGAAAGAATGATGCACAGTGAAATAAATGGGCACTGCAAAATTAATTATACTGCCTGCCTTCATAAAATCATAGAAAGGTTTGTGTTGGAAGGGACCTTAAGGATCATCTAGTTCCAACCCTCATGCCACAAGCAAGGGCACTTTCCACTAGACCAGGTTGCTCAAAGGCCTTGGCCTTGAACACTTCCAGGGATGGGGCAGCCACCTTTCCCCAAAGAGTTATCAAGCACTGGAACGGGATGTCCAGGGAAGTGGTTGAGTCACCATCCCTGGAGGTATTTGAAAGATGTGTAGATGTGGCGCTCAGGGATATGGTTTAGTGGTGGACTTGGCAGTCTTGGGTTTATGGTTGGACTAGGTCGTCTTAGCGTCTTTTCCAACCTAAATGATCTTATGAGTGCTACATACAATTGCACACAGACAGAAGAAACTCATGCTTGTGACACCTAGCTTAGAATAAGAGGAAATGGAGAGGACAGTTCAACACCAGAACCAACCACCAAGGGTGGATGTGGGTCACTGTGGAAGATTAGGCTATCTCCTGTCAGTAATCTTTATCCAGTTGAGCTGCTGCAAAGGAGAATATGAGCATGGGGCAGTCTCTCAAGATCTCTTTCGAACTATTCCCTGTCATTCTGCAAATAATTCCCATTGCCTTGTGGCACACACGGTGCAAGTTCCCACTTGATGCAGGGATGTTCCAGTCTAGGGTTGCTAGGGCTGGAGGGAAATTTAGCTCTAGCAGGTTCTAAAAGATGACTGGAAGCTTAGGCCATATGATGAGGTGGTCACACTCCCAAACAAATCATACAAACTTCTGTGCTCTCTGTGTTTCCTTGGGAATACCAACACCAGAGACGGACAAGGTGAGGAGGGAATCAGTAAGCTTCATCTTTTGACAGGGGGCTCCGAGATCTTACTGTAAAATGGAAGGAGAATCCAGGCACATTCAAAACAAATAGCTTGGCTTTTATTTTTTTTCTTTTGATAGAAGACCAAGCAACAGATGAGATTCTGTATCTTGGTATATTTTGCACTAAGAAGGAAAATCTTGTTTGAAGTATCTGGACCTTTGGCACACTGGAGATCACACTGGCTGAAACGAGGGTGCTGTCTTGCAGTTTAGAGATCTTTCTAGCCTTACTAAGACTTACACATTTTTAGCTTTTCAGTTTAAAAAATTTCTTTATTATTGCTCTATTTGTATGGCAGGCACAACTAATTTGACCTGTTTCTCCACGAGCAAGAAGTATACAGCTATCACAGATGTCTGGTGCTTAGTGATTAGTGAGAGGATTTCAACATACTACTGCAACTTGTCATAAACAGAAGACAACATTAAGAGGAAAACCCAAGAGCATTAAACATCTGAAAGACTTTCATCCTCTTGATAAATCTAGTCCTTACAATGTAGCTTCTCAGGGTAAGACCGCAACAAAATTGTCACAGCTCATAGATGAGGCTAGATTCACACAGAAGGAAAGCCCTCTCCTACTCCAAATGTGAAACCAGGAGCCTGAAAGCCCTTGGTCAGGCTGTTGGCTTTCCTGTCAAAAAAAAAAACCCAAAAACCAAACCACAAGAATGTCACAGAGTTGTCCCTTCTCTCAAATCTCAGGGTACACCCAACTAAACACAGCTTGTACATGAGGACAGACGACTGCATCCAGTTTCTTTACTCTTAAATAAGCACAATTCATTTGAAAGGGAGAACTCTTGTTCAACCTGTACTTCAGCCTATTCATGGTCAGGCATGTTTTGCTCCTGGCTTTCATGTGCAGTGCTCATGATCAAGAAAAGCTTTCTGTGTTCAAATCCCTGTGAGAGAACCAGGGGGTGAAAATTTAGGACACCAAATTTGCACTTAATTATATGAGAGGCTGTAGGTTGGAACACCTACATACCTTCTCCCTGTAACGATTAAGGAAAACATGTTAGAAAAGACAGATTAATTTCTCTGATAAAAACTGGAGCTCCCAAGGCACACTTCAGGGCAAAAGGCCACTCTGGCCTCAAATTAAGAGAGAAAGAAAGCTTCCTCTTACTCAACATCAAAGGTCTTCAGAGACCCTGTAATGCATAAACTGGCACCTGAAGTAGCCAGCCACTTCCTATGAGTCTAAACCATGAGCTGCAGAGGAAGAGAGGGAATCAGAAGTGTCTGCAGTTGAATATAAAGGGAGAAAAGCAATGGCTGAGTAACCAAATATATTTTGTTCTTCTGTAACAGAATTTTCTGCTTACGCTAAGGAACAAGGACAAAGTTAATCTCCAACCTGGAGAAACAGTTTGAAGCTTACAGTACACCACTAAGATTTTCATCCTTGCTCTGCAAGTTTTATGTACAAGATCAACCCAAGAGGCACTGGGGAAGAACTGCTACATTTTCTGAAGAACCTAAAGGGTGAGCAGATTACACAGAAAGAGAAGAACATTTCTTCTTATAAATCTGGTGCAGTTCTCTTTATCAGGGATTGCATTGCAGTTTATCAGAGGGACTGCAACTCTATGATACCTTGGCCTTTTTTTACTTAAGGCAAACAAATGTAAGCTCAGACTGCCAGTCACCTAGATCTACTTCATCTGCCTTTGCAAGTAACTGGCATGTGGCAAACGTAAGGGTTTGTTTTTTAGTTTACAGAACATTGTTGTTTTGAGGATTTACTATTTCCATCCTAAATGAGATGAAGTGGTTGAAGCAATTTTGACAGACTGTAAAAAGCACACTCCTCAGGTTTTGCAAATCCACAGCCAGATACAATGGGATGAGTATCAGCACAACATCTTTTATACAATGCTCTTGAGAATAGCTTTGATGATTACTGAAGAATGCTGCCATCTCGGCTTCCAAAGTTTTTTTAAAGAAGAATAAAATGAAGCAAAGTGAACACTCACTTAATCCCTGGAACATCCAGGAGGTTGCTCATGCCTGCCCAGTTGATTTCCAAGTGCTACAACAAGATCAGGGAGAAAAATTATATAGAACTATTAAAATTTATTTCAGAAAAAAATGTAGAATTTAAAGGGGAAGCAAATGCTTTTTAAAACAAAGCCAGATGTTTAAAGAAAGCAAAACCTGCACCCAGTAAGTGACTGCATCTGTACATTGAAACCAACAGCTGGTATCTATTCCCTTATCTATTTTACCTGCTATACCTGAAATAAGGGTATCACTGGGACTTATCCTGCAAGTACAGGGAAAGAGAGCATTCAGCCCCTAGCAATGGCCACTGGCAGATGCCCTGGGGTTATGCATAGTAAATATGACAGCTCTACTTAGACTTTGAAGTTGTTTCCCCATCCTTTCACTTAGGAGTTGGCGTATACCCTGAGGCAGGGGGATTTACAAACACCGCCTGACTTCAGGAGTTTATTTCTATTCACACAATAAACAAAAAGGTTTTTTCATGTGCTAAAATAATACTACTACATCTAAACACAAAAACACCTCATCTAAGATCAAAAATGTATGACTTCCATGAACTCAAGCAGACCATTACCCACAAGCAAGCAAAGCTGTGTGCTATAATTAGTTTTTACAAGACTAGAAGGTTTCTCACGTTTTATTAAACCACAATTCAACTACAAGGCAAGTGACCTTAAATAGGCAAATTTTCAAAGCACAGCCATGACTGAATGGTCTCCCAAGATGACTGTATTTAAAATCTATTAATGGAAAGAATTAAAATCCACCTGCCAGGAACCTTGCAGCAAAGGCTTAGGAAATGGCTCGTCTGCTGTCACCATCAGAAAGTCATCCCATTCTTAGAGTGAAGCAAGTAACTCTTTAGGCACTACTACAAAACAACAGGGCAAAATCATTCCTGTCTTCTCCGAGTTCAAGAGGAGCATTGAACAATCAGGAATTTGCCATTCAAATGCCTGCAACAGTTCTGCAGTTTGGGTTACCAGTGACTGACAGCTTGTGTTGCTCATGGAAGACCTATCCATGCATCAAGATAGACCAAGAAGCAGGAAGGTTGCAGAGTGCAGTTCACTACAGACTCACCGGTTTCTGCATGAAAAACAAAGTCACTGCTCCAATGAAAGGTGCATCGGTTAGAAGAGGTTCCAGTATCACCCGCAGTGTCCCATACAACTGCAAATAGAACAGAGCAAGGAAAACTGAGTCTGAAGGTACTTTCAGGATGCAGTTTCAAAACTGTGAGCTTTTGTGACAGACATAATTCTAAAAACCCTACTTGAAGTAATTTTATTTAGAAATCAATAACAACAATAAACTCCTCCCCCCCAAAACCATTGCTACTGATATCAGGTGATGCTTTCTAAGTTTGAGGAATTTCTCTGCAATCCTCACTGCCATATAATGCAGCGATCTGCCTATTAGCTTTCAACGTTGTAAGAAACAGTTTATGAACACTGTAGCAGAATTGTCTCTTCTGAAGTTCTCTACCAACATGCAGCTCCTCTGAGTGCCAGTGGCAGAAGCTATCCTACATGAGCTCGATGCTCTAGCGCCAATCCTGTTTAAAAGTCACACTAAGAAGCTTTAAAAGTGGTATTTAGGTGCCTTTGATGGAAGGCATGATTTCCCCAGCCAAAACAAAAGGAGATAAACCCAGTCACTGCAGACTGCTAGTTGGTGGTTTCCCAGTTAAGTGTCACGACCCCTCCCATTGGTACATGCTAACTCCTGCACCACACAGCCTTGAGCAGACATTACCACTGCACGCACCTGTACACCTTTCACTCCAAGATTAAATTTCGATATGTCCATGTGAATCTCACAGTCCCCTACGTAACTGAAAGAAAATTCTCACATTATTCCACAGTTTGCAACAGTCCACTGAGAAATTTTAGGTTGTACAGAGTATAAATTAAACTAGGTTAATGACTGACAACATGATCCCACAGGCAGAGATGGATTTTCAAGCAACTTAAACGGGAAAGTTGAGCAGATTGAACAAGGGTCAGATCTTCACAAAGAAACCCTGCAGTCAGCTGGGACACTGATCTACCTGCAAAATGTCAAAGCAACATCTGTATTTCAAGGTTACTTTTCCATTCTTAACAGTGGCCATTAGCTGAGGCAAGCTTGTGCTAAGGAGGGGATCAGCAGGCTTATTCAAAACTCAAGACTGACAGCTATTGTCCTCTTGTTCCCTTCTCTGCCAAAGGCCTGATCCCACCCCACCCCCGGTGATCCAGCTCTCAAACTAATGCAGAGCCATCCTGCCATTCCATATGGGGTCCTCACCCTGCCCACAACCAAAAAGCCTATTTGAAGGACAAATTCTTCACTAAAAATAACCTGCTTTCCTTGAGGCTGAACTAAAAGGCAATGATTTGGATCAGATTTTGGTCAGTTGCCATGGAGGACATCAGGCTTTAAATAAAATGAATGCCAAGTGTAGCACTTTTGCAATTTAGAAACCACCTTAGACTTTAATAAAAGTACAACCACCACCTTATGCAGAAACCAATAGCCACTCCCCAGGAAGCAGAACCTGGCAGATCTGTTGATGCCTCTGGCATAAAACAGTTGAAGGGAGCTACCAAGTTCCTTTTCAGTCCACTGAGAAATAGCTCTTTCTGGATGCAGACACACAAACACCCTGCAGGTAAAGCAGGGCGTAAAGGTACCGCAGCACAGTCAATGTGCTGTGCTTGCCACCTGCGTGCATAATTTCAACCCATAAGCAAAGGACAAGATTTATCTCCGACCACATGTATATGGGCAAATAGTGCTGCAGTTGCCAAGAATTCACACTTTAATTCGCACACATAGTCCCTCTCCCTCAAAAAACCTGTCAAGAATGTGTAACCCAGTGAATTTGTCTCCATTTTTGCAAGCAAAGTTCTCAAATATTTGTTTACAACAGTGACTTAACAGAACTTTAAAAGCTCATAACACACAAATTAAAGCCTTTAATGTCAGAACATTCTCATTTCTTAAATAACCAACCTCACAGCCCATGCTAAAATTAACACACTCTTCCCTATGAGCTAGTCACATAATTAAACTTATTTTTACATTTATTAGTTTCTACAATTTTGACATTAGCTTACAGCTCATTACACTGGGTGCTAATAGAGTTTTGTCACAAGAAAAGTCTAAACGAGAAGCCAAAATGAGTTCCTCAATTTGCAGTAATTAATCCAAGAGGATTTAATTCAGCCACTGCCAGTGTCCAACACAACAAATAATAGTGGTGTGTTTCAATTTACAACCTTTTTGGCTTTCCACACGGTCAAAAACTCTTCCCACCCAGTCCTAGATGTCTCTTTTCTCCAGTAACACTTCAATATATGCAATCGTGTTTTAAGATGTCAGAGCCTGAGACTTCAATTATTCTTAAGTCTGCTTCATACAGGTGTCACCCCCTCACCAGGGTGCTCAGTAGAAAGGATGCACTCTTTGTTTGCTAGTTTTGCTCCTCATTTCCAATCCAGGCTGCTCATGCCTTTGTCTGCCCCCTCTGCTTAGCGTAACTTTGCTGTGCTCTCTGCTGTTCTCCCCCAGACAGAGCATGCCTGAGCCAAACTCAAGCTTTGGCACTCAGAAGTGTGCAGGGCTGAGCACCTCTGCCGCTATCAAGAGGACCGTACTTTACCCACCTGTGATGGGTGGAAGAACTACCTGTTTCTCTCCTAGATCATCTGTTGCACAAGGTAATGCAGATAAGCACGCCTGTGCCATGGGTGAGAACTGGAGAAGCTTGTACAAGCAGACATGTCTGTATCTCTTCTATACTTGGGTGGAAAAGCTAGGCCCAATGTTTATGATTCAATGGGTGAAGGCAGGGATGCTGCAAGAGCACACACTGACAAGTTTGATTAACCTGGATATCTATGGGTCCCTTTAGAAAAGGCATGTGCAATTCTTCCCCCTGTAAAGTAACTCCCCAGAAGCCCTATCTTTTCATGAGCCCACATACAAAAACTGCTGTCTGGTCCATCCTTCTCAAGTGCTTTGTAAAGCAGACACTATTGCTTAGTCTGCCTGACTTCGGGCTTGGGTAAATGAGCAAGCAGTACTAGACAAATAAGGAAGACAAGAAAGCGTGACCAAATGCCAAGAAAAAACAGACCACCTCTGCCTTTTCCCTTTGCCTATGAAGTCAGACTCCTGAGGGCAAGTGTTCCTTTTCTGCTCAAGACTGACAAGTTTCCAAATTGTGTTTAGTTCTTGCAAGATCCTACAAACTCAGTTAACTCAAACTCCGCCCAAGCTCTTATTTTTTGTGCTTTTGATTACTTTCTCCAGTTCTGCACTAGGTGACAGAAACTGTCTTCCATTCTAAAACTTGTCCATTAGAAAGTCCAGAGATTCTCTTTTAAGAGTAAATTGCAATGCCTGCAGATTTTTACACATATTATTACACCATTCTTCTGTGACTTCTTATGTACTGAAAATGCCACAGAAGAGCATGGAAATGAAAATTTGAAACAGTTCCAATAAAGAATGATTATGAGTACTAAATCAGATTAACAAAATAGGAAGAAACTGGATTGAAATATGTTCTCCTGGGAGGTAATAGTGCCTTCAAATACTTTGAAATTTATAGCCAATGATTACACGGCTACATAGTAGCTCAGACAATTGCAGAATCAGTGGGAAGAAAAGCAGCTGTAGGAGATCAAGTGGGTGCACTCGAAAAGTTCCCACTTTGAAAAATGCAGTTTTGGAGAACATTTCTGGACTGCTTCAACATTAATTCATTTGGAGAATGCAACTGTCAGCTCCCTATGCTCAGGGGACAGCTTCATGATTTGGATCTAGGGCAAATTGTTTAAAGACCCCAGAGTATTGCCAGTTTATTTCCAGCTGGGATCTCATATTTCAGGTTTGGGGATTTCAAATCCCAGTCTGGCAGGGATCACTGGAAGAACCGTGATTCTTTGTTATGTGTCAAGTGAAAGCTATAGATTGGGTATATTTGTGCTGGAAAGCAGATACATGCACAGAATACAGCCACCTGGACCTTCAGACAGATAAATGACAAACTGTGTGTACAGAAAACCCGAAGGTAACCTATACTCCTGTTCAGTCCTATAAACTGTGACAAAATTTACACAACTTAATTAACACTAATTGTGCATCATCTCAGGGACCAAGCAAAAGATTTGGAATGAGTTATAGCCTCCTTCCTTGCCTTTGCCAAAAGGTCTCTGTGCCTCACAAGTAATCACCTCTGTGCCTTGGTTCTCCTGCCAACAACTCAAGTATAGTTCTTTCACGTGGGACAGCAAATACTGTAATGAGACAGTGCTCTACAATAACCAATTTCAGTGCTCTGATGCTGCAGACATGTAATCTGTTGTTAACAGATTTAATTAAAGCAGCTTCTCAAGTTTCTTTTGGTAACTCTCTGCAGTACCAGATCTACTGCATCACTGGCTCTCCTGACAGCTACTGTCCATACAAATAAGGGATTTCTATGTGCTGATTATCACAGTTCCCAAGTAAAGGATGTAATCTGTGATATCACACCACAGACTTAACACAGACGAAGTGCTTCTTCACACAGCGCAACCCTGAACCACAGCATGGAGTGTGTGAAACTCATGAAGTTCAGCAAGGCCAAGTGCAAGATCCTGCATGTGGGTCAGGGCAACCCCGAGCACAAATACAAGCTGGGTGGAGACTGGACTGAGAGCAGCCCTGAGGAGAAGGACTTGGGGGTGTTGGTCGATGAGAAGCCCAACATAACTCAGCAGTGTGCGCTCGCAGCCCAGAAACCAACCATATCCTGGGCTGCGTCAAAAGGAGCATAACCAGCAGGTCAAAGGAGGTGATTCTCCCCTACTACTCTGCTCTCGTGAGGCCCCACCTGCAGTACTGGGTCCACTTCTGGGGCCCCCAGCATAAGAAGGACTGTGAAACTGAAAGCAAGAAGCATTTACAGAGCACACTGAAATTTCTGGGTGCAAGACACTGCCTAACACAAAGAGCAACTTGGCACTGGAGTGGGGCACAGCTGCTGCCAAGGCAGGAGTGCTGTCCACAAGGATAACAGCACCCTGAATGAAGTAGCTGCTCAGCCTTTCCTGCTGCAGCTACCCCGGTCAGTGGTGAGCCAGCCAAGCAGTCAAGAGACCAGCTCACGTGGATTCACCAGTGAGGGAACTCCCAGAAAAATTACAGCTAGCAAGCACCAAGACAGAGGAGTCATGTTTATAACATGGAGACATATTAATCCTCTAATGTTCACTGCAACATAGCCACACTTCTCTGAAATCTAACCCCAGAGAGGAAAGTCAGTCACTGTAGTCTCAGCCTTGCAAAGTATACCACACGGGCACCCAGAGCACATTGCTCTCTTCTCCAGAGCTGTGATGCCAGGCCACAGCTCTTTGGACAGATCCAGCCATTTAAACCAAACCAGCATGAAGCAACTGAGAGGTAGTGCAAAGAGCAGCAGAGTCACATTGGGGCAGCTCAAGTCCATCTCCTATGAGCAGCTCTTCTCCCAACACCAGTCCCACTAGTGCAAGCACTCACTGCTATTCATGTAGCTAAGAGAGCCTGTTTTGTAATGGGGGTTTGCCTCACTCCAGAAAAGTAGAAATTGCCCATTTCTTTGATTAAAGAAAAAAAAAAGTTCCTTTGACAATCCAGAAAAAGGCAGGTAAACACCACCACCACTCATATGCTCATAGATTTGCTTCTCTCCATTTGTGGAATACACTACCTCCTGCGGACACTGTACATTTCACAACTCCCAGCTTAGTTGCAGAAACTGATCTTCATGTATTAACATCAGAGAAACCAGGTCCTTAACATAGCCCATCAGAGAAGACACCGCATCAAAGAGACAAGGTGGTCTGAACACTCCCATGAGAATATAGAAAATACTTGGGTTATCAGACGACAGTTCAGGCTAAGTTATCATCAGGATGAGGAACAGGAAGTGTTTGGCCATTTGGAGATGCTGACGGGTCTGCCAGAGGGACAGGAACAAGGAGGTGGGGGAATCCCTCTGCAGAGGATTGTTAAAAGACAGTGAAAATGAGTATGTGGGAGAAGCAGCCTGGAGAAGTAGTTTAACAGTGAACAGCAGCAACCTCCCGCAGAGCCTTGAAGGCATCAAATCCCTCAATGTCAAGGTGGAAAGCACAAATGATTTGCCAAATGCTCCTAAACTGGTCTGGCTATTACAAAGAGCATTTCGCTGACAGCACTGAAGCACAACATGTTCTGGCTGAAAAATCAAGCATGTCATTTTGCAGGGAGTGATTGTGCTCTGCCAGGGCTGGGGATGCTGCCATGCCATTGCCACATTAAGCAGCAGGCACAGTTCTGAGCAGCTCTGTGCTGTTGCCAAGATGCTCTGTAATTTCACAACTGCTTTTTTCTGGCACTACCATGAAGAAAAGCAGTTTAAATTAGGCAGCTCAAACTGCTAAACTTACAGAGCTACAGCAGCATGCAAGTGGCAATTCCCGCAGTAATTCCATTCTCCAGGCTAAGCCAGGAGAAAATTCAGCTCTGCATTGCCTCTGTTGTTAACAAAACACACAAGCTCATTCAAAACAGCCTGGGAGGTATGAAATGTTTTATCTAATTTCGTTGTTGTTTTTGTTGCTAATAGAGCTAGAGGCACTTTTCTGCTCAGAGAACAGCTGTAATCAAAAAAGCAGATGTGTGGGGTAGCACATGGAACAAATGGTGATTAAAACAAGAGGATTAATCTAGGGGAAGGAATTGAAAAATAAATAGCACAAGTAGTTCTCGAAGAACTGGAGAGGTTGCACTGAACAGGAAACATGGTGGGACGAGACAGATCAAGTGCCTCCATGTCTGAGAGCTGACAGAACAGAAAATACAATTCCAAAACTTGGGTTCTTACTACCATGAATGGCAAAGCCAAGGGACACATTCCTATACCCATGGCAGCAGTGATGGGACAGAGTAGGTAACACCTAAACCTTTGCAGATGTCACTGCTTTCTGACTTAAAGGCTGATGCACAACATCTCACTTCTGTAAATGAGGACATCCAGCTGGGGACAGATTATCATTCTATGTCAATATAAAATAAGGACCTCTGCACTTCACGCTGGTCTTAGTGGACCACACGTTCAGTCCAGCATGATTACTCACACGCAGGTGTCAAATGCACAGCGAGTTAAGAACTATCTACATAATCAGTGATGTAACATTACCATATCTGCAGGTCTAGGGTAACTTGTCTTCTGTCGATTTCTTTGGTGTAGGCTTTTATTCCATTGATTCTAGGACACTGAAATAAAGACAAACAAGATACGACTTAGCTAGCATCTCTCAAGAAGCCTAAGTGAAGAATCCAACTAACCTCAATCAATTTGAGTACAGAATCATTCATTAAAGACTTTACAAAACTGCATGTGAAGTGTAAGTAAATTATACAAGTTTTCCCCTTAAAAAGGCAGTGTGAACAGCTTTGGCAGTCCTCAAATACAAGGTTGGTTGCAAGTAGTCCAGGCTGCAAGCTTTAGGAAGCCCTGAAAACTCCTGTCACAAGGGTATTACAGGAAGAAATGCAGATACATGACCCTTTTTCTATCTCCAATCCCATGATACTGACAGCTGGTGGGAAGGAATGTGTCACCTATACAATCCTTCCTTCATGGTGAAGACGCTCAAGTCGCCATGAAGAGGGAACAAAGCAGGCAGCAGTGTTGTACCAATACCATTTTATTAAACACTCAGTACTATTAAGGAGCTGAACATCAGACTCCCCTTGCATCCAAACTTTTCAGAAAAGACTGACCTGCAAATGTTGAAAAGGATTTACACTACCTTCTCACCAAAGTGGATCTTGGTAAAGGTGCATGTTTTTAGGTGTACATTCTTTGCTCTGATTTTTGGTTCAACAATTTCCTTAAATGTTTTTTCCATGATTGTCCCAAAGTATGGCCAAGCCTGTACAAGGACCTAAGGAATAGCAAAAGGAGAAACACTCTGAAAATTCATTGTGTAAGATACCTTTTGTTGAGAAACAGACACAAACATTACAGAACACCTGGCTATTAACGTCTGCTCTTTTACCAAGTCACATTTGTGCAGTTAAGTCATCCTTATGGAAGGATTCATCTCAACTCCTCAGCAAAAGAATTTGTTTTAGGAACTGAAGGGCGAGTTTCCAGCACTGTAGACTATTACATAAACTATAGTCTATTGACTGCTTCTAACCTCAGGGGCTGAGCCAGAAAAGCCCAGGGTTAAAGTCGCTAGTGAACAATAGTCCATAATTGCTCTAAAGTGTCACAAAGTTCCTTGGAGTCAGGTTTGTTTAAAGAGGAGTGGAAATGAGCTTTTCATGAAGAAGAAAGTTTGCTAAAAAGAAACCAGGATAGTTACTGTGTGCTAATTTGCAAGTTCAACTGTTTTGCTTTGGATTCCAGTGTCCAGTTCCAGTGAAAGCTTGACTAAACCGCTTATGGGAGCACCTGCCTCCGAGCTCCCTGGGGACCTCTCTGATAAGAGGAAATCTAACTGCTTTTGCTAAAATAATACTTACACACATATGTATATAGACATGTATACATACATACACACACACTCTTGCTTGCTTTTATTTTTTTCATCTCAGAATGAAGTGTTATGGTCAAATTCATCAAACCTGTATTATCAACCAGGCACACATTTGGCTCTCATCAAAATCTCAGTGGCAATTCTTTACTAAAGAGTTGGCTCCAAGATTTAAGTACAGACACTGATATGACTGAGCTGTACTGTAGTGACTTGGTAAGTTTCTCAGACCTGGCCCACAGAGTTTGTGCTACGATGCAGCTCAGAGCAGATGACTCCTCACCTTATTCAGCCACTCCACTCGTTCAACATCAGGGAAGTGAACCTGAATGCAAAGAAAAAATAAAACAAAACAGTGAATGCAACATGCCATCTGTTTCTGCATACTGCAACACATGCAAAACATACCACAGAGTGTGAACAAGCTGTAGAGTAAGTCGAGATGCCTCGGCCCTCCTACATACATCCTTCTTAATTTACTACCTCCTTGAAAAACAGTAAAAGTCAAAAGAACACACGTGCGCCTGATACACCAGTATGCCTCTGGGCACATTTATATAATTAAAGCAAGTATCATATCCTGTTCATGACGTACGGCATCATTAGATTTCCCACCCTTCTTTTGGTCATGCCTTCAGAAAGCCGTAAGATCCTGCTTCCCTTCAAGATTACGAGCTGTGCAGGACCTGTTTCCTGTACTGGCTCACCTCAACCAGGACACTGCGCTTTGGAAAATAAGAACCTGCTTGAGAAACTCAGTTTATTGGTTGTGGCAGCATTTCTCCAACAATGTTAACATAGTGCCAATTGCTTCAGGGAAAAGCAGCACTGGAAGAGTTCAAGCCTATTAGCACACACTATCACGTGTAACACTCCAGTATTTTCACATCTCAGAACTTTTTAAAAGACTAAGGACAGATTAAAATGAAGTAATCACTTATGCATCATGTTTTCAAGTGGGACACGTTGAGTGCCAACAGGAAGCATATGTGCCCATTACAAAATCCTTCAAGTTCCCTGAAGTGATGACTTGTTTAATCACCATCAGGACAGTCAGATATGAGGCCACTCTCAAGTAACTAGCTGATCTCTCAGACTTCATCAAGAAGCTGCTGAGTGAAGAGCCACAGTCACACATTAAAATCTTATGGATGTGGTATTTTCAGCCAGTGCTACGAGCTGGTACCAGGTTATTGCAGAAGGGAAGGACAGTGCAGCAGGGGACATTCAAGCTCTGCTCAGTTCCACAAGAGCATCCAAATACAAAGGGACTCTTTCAACTATCATTTAGCCTGATAATAGTCATTGGGTAGGACAATACATTACTTCCTTGTACAAGAACTGTGAACTACACTCTTGCTGTTTAATTCAGTGACTTTCAGAGAGGTGCTCAGAGATGTTCAGATGGAAGGGACAGCAGCTTACATTTTATTCCAGTTTCATGCATGATTTCAGAGTCCTTTTCCCCTGCTCAAATGCTGCTTCAAATTATCAATTATTACGTTAAAAAAAAAAAAGATATTACCATATTCTTTACAAGCAATTTCTTTTGATAGCAACTTTTCCATTAAATAAGACAATGCAAGTCCAGTGAAATGTCAGCCTACCCAGCTCTATTTGCATGATAAAGTGAGAATACAGCACCAGGAGACACAATCAATACTGAAAAATGCTGCTGACGTTTTACAGTAAGGCATATTATGTGAATTGAGGACCTCCACTTCACCTGCCAGCCTTTCACCTTTCACCAAAAAATCCTCTGTCGGGGCACATAAATCCTGAGTAGCCTGAAGGCATCTGGTCCCCAGCTCCAACATAACTGCCAAGTGCCAGTGTCCAGCAGCATTTGTGCCACAGCGCTGGATCGGTCACAGGCAGGATAGAGAAGTTATGGAAGTAGCATGACAAGCTGTCCTTCAAAAGACCTTACAGCAAAGAGAGAGATGTGACCCAAAAGGAAGGATAGACCAGACTCAGGGCAATAGTTAAGCTGTGACTTTCTCACCATATCCCAGTGAGAAAGTCACAGCCCACATGTGAGATCCACCAATGATAAGGGTAGAAGTGTAGCACAACATAAACCACAAAAGATGGGTTTTTTTGGGATTATTCACTAAAGCCAAAGCTGCTAGAAATGCAACTGCAAAAGGCAACCAAGAAGCAAACTAGTGGCTTAAGAGACCTGGAACAGCACTCAGGAGCATGAGGAAACGGAAAAACTGAGAGAAGGAGGCAGCTGCTAGATCCACCTTGAGAAAAAGCAAAACTGAATTCACTATTGGAGCCACAGACACTGGCCAAACCAGACAGACCACGGCAAACTCCAAAAGCAACCACAGTGAATCACATATGCCTTTGTCACACCTCAGATTTTGATAGGATTAGCAGCCATTTGTGGTACACTTCTATCCCACCTGACACTGCCTCATTCATGTGTTTGCAACACAGCTTCTACCCAGGCACTCTGTGCTTCAGTTTCCTTTGACAGATGGAAGAAATAGCACTGCTGTAGCTCTGTGGTACTAAAGACCACCAGGAGCAACTTGGCTAACACAACAGGGCTCTCTCAGAGGCAAACACCACAAACTGGCCAGCTACAGGCTTCTGGTGAAAACAAGCTTTCTGCCTATTATGAAATGCCACCACATATCCGTGGGTTCCCAATACCAAAGGTCAGCTGACCAGTTCTGCAGAAGCAGCAGAGACTGGTATCCAAGTGTCACATCTAGATTATCCACTGTCTAATGAAGACATAAGCTCTGACCAAAGCCTTTCTGACCCCCAGGATATTCTTATTATGGGCATGTCCCACTAGCAGAATACGAGTTCTGATCTAGTTTGACCCAGTGACACTAGCAAGCTCTCTTCTTATCCCAACAGTGTACTCCAAGAACTTACTGTATCCTAATACATTTTGGAAAAAAAACCCCAAACATCTGCAGTTCCATACTTTCAGCCACATGCTCTGGACTTCAAGACTCACTTCAGACCCTTGTTACTGGTGAGAGCCCTAGCAGCAAGGTCTTGTCCTCAAGTTTGTCATGAGTACAGCACAGGTAAGAGAAGCTCAAAACACTTCCTACTAAGCCCAGAACCAGCCACAAAGAGCTTCCAAAGTTAACACTGTCCCAGAAGAAGACTTAATTCTGAAGCCTTGGGCAAGTCACTTTATCAAAATCAGTTTTCCCCACTTACAAAAGCAAGCCTACTTCTTGTCAATATTTTTGGAATGATGCAAAAATTACTTAGCATTAGAAAAGAGCTTTGAAGATCAAAACCACCAGGTAAGGGCCAATTACCATCAAGTAAAGAAAATGTGTAAGTTTCTGCATGGCTTCACCTTGCCCTGGAGCAGGGTACACCAACAATCATAGCAACAGCAAAACCCACGTCTGACACAACAGTGCCCTTCTCTTCAACACAGGAATCTATCCATGGGGGTGTGCGTATCTGTGTGTTTCAGGGTTTGTTTGGGTTTTTGTTGTTGTTTTGTTTGGGGCTTTTGGGTTGGTTGGGGTTTTTTGATGTTGGATATTTTTGGGGACCCACACACACCCACGGGTTTTAGCTCCCTGCGCAGGGCCAAAATAAAAAAAATTCTAAACAAACCTTTTGCTCAGAGGAGGAATTAACTCGCAAAGTTTTAAAAGGACTGCTCTGTACCCAGTAATATCAATTCCTCCTGGTAAAATGAGTTTAACATCAGGAAGAAACCCAGCATACTTGGACATTCTCATCCACAACCTGCCAAAAGCTGCAAAAGCAACATGGAGAAGTCACCACCACCAGAATGAAGGAGCCAGAATGAAGGTGGAAGCCCGGCTACCTCTGTGCCAGGCACCAAGCGGTTTTACAGAAGTCATGCTAAAGGCGGCACAGGCTGAAGTCACCTCTCCAAGACACAGATCCGACTGCTCAACATGAGCAGATTTTCAGCCTGGTCTCCTGAGGAAGCACAGCCTGCCCACGTAAGATGTCTAGCGCATGAATGCCTCTATTCCAAACTCACCGGCTGGTTTCAGCCAAGAAACTGGTGCTGCAAAAGAACCATGCAAACTCCCTGAAACAGATGGTTGAGTAGATGAGGGAAACCCTCCCTGTGCCCCCTCTGAAGGAATGGCTGTGATATGAATGCATCTCCTAACAGCTGATACCAGGACTGAGCAGAACCCCAGTCACATCTGAAGGAGCCACTGCACTGCTCTAAGGGAGAATGGTTTTTAACTAACCACTGCAATCAGTGATTGGTCTTAGCTCTTCACTGGATGGATCCTCCTCATCTTAACCACAGGGCACATGAGGAGACAACTATTTGCCAGTCCCCTCAGACACTGCCATTGCTTCAGAACTCCAGGACATTTCCTAGG